GACACTGTGGCGATCAGGTCCACTGCTGGACCACTTGTGCAGCGATCAGGGCCACTGCTGGGCCACTGCGGCAATCAAGGACACTGCGGTGATTAGGGACACTGCTGGACCACTTGTGCGGCAATCAGAGACACTGCGGTGATCAGGGACACTGCTGGGCCACTGCGGCGATCAGGGACACTGCAGGAGCACTTGTGTGGCGATCAGGGCCACTGCGATGATCAGGACACTGCTGGGCCCCTTGTGTGGCAATCAGAAACACTGCTGGACCACTACGGTGATCAGAGGCACTGCTGGACCACTTGTCCGGTGATCAGGGACACTGCTATGGCACTTGTGTGGTGATCAGGAACACTGCTGGGCCAATGCGGTGATCAGGGACACTGCTGGGCCACTTGTGTGGTGATCAGGGCCACTGCTGGGCCACTGCGGCAATCAGGGACACTGCGGTGATCAGGGACACTGCTGGGCCACTTGTGTGGTGATCAGGGACACTGCTGGGCAACTGCGGCAATCAGGGACACTGCGGTGATCAGGGACACTGCTGGACCACTTGTGCGGTGATCAGGGACACTGCTGGGCAACTTGTGTGGCAATCAAGGGCACTGTGGTGATCAGGGACACTGCTGGACCACTTGAGTGGTGATCAGGGACACTGCTTGGCCACTGTGGCGATCAGGGACACTGCTGGGCCACTTGTGTGGCGATCAGGAACACTGCGACAATCAGGGACACTGTGGCGATCAGGAACACTGCTGGGCCACTATGTGACGATCAGGGACACTGACAATCAGGGACACTGCTGGGCCACTTGTGGGCGATCAGGGCCACTTGTGGGCAATCAGGGCCACTTCTGGGGGCGATCAGGTGTCACTGAGGTGGAGGGCAGTTTGCTACTACCTCTTCTTTGCTCCTTCTCCTCTCACAGACAACTCCGTGTGAGGAGAAGGAGGTGGAAGCCGCACCATGTGGCTTTTGTTTACACTTAAGACTGTGTCCTTATTGTACACAGCTGATCACATGGTATAGGACCAATTTCATACAGCGCTATTTGTAAATTGGGAAAGCATCTGATCACACCGATCTTGGTCTGATTATATAATGTAAGGGCAGAGGAGATATCTAGAGTTTGATAGACCACAGATTTCTCAAAAAAGAATATATGACAATGCCCATTGTAGTTATAGGGGATATTTGCATTCCCTGTGATAGCATTGAAAGCGATAAAAAAAAGAAAAATGAAAAAAAGGGACAGTGTAAACATAATAAAAAAAATCTAAATATTAAATTTAAAAAAAAATAAAATCACCCTCGCCCCCCCCCCCCCCCAGAGCGTGCGCACACCTGTGTGCGCGAGTGTTGACAGTGCCTGTACCGGTGTGTAAACAGCGGTTGCACCTTGCATGTAGACACATCAAACTATATGCTGAGAGGCATGTTGAATTAATAGAAGAATTTATTTTTTTAACCAAAGTTTTGGAAAATGACAGAAAAAAATTTTTTTCCCCCCACACAAAATTCTCACTTAAATGACTTATTGCTCACACATGCCATGGGTATATCTGACATTACTCCCCAATATACATTCTGCTACTTCTCCCAAGTATGGTTACCACATGTGGGAGACGTTTTGGCAGTCTAGCAAGTACAGGACCCCAAAATCAAATAAGCACCTTCAGGCTTTTAAAGGGCTTTATTTCCTCAATACATTTCCTGACTACCTATCACAGTTTCGGAGGCCCTGAAATGCCAGGATAGCACCCAACCCCCCCCCCCAAATGACCCCTTTTTGGAAAGTAGATGCCCCAAGGAATTTGACAAGAAGCATGGTGAGTATTTTTCAGATCTCGTTTGTTGCCACAAGTTTTTGGAAAATGAAGAAAAAAAAACAAAAACATATTTTTTTTTTTCTTTTTTTATATTTCAAAACCTTATGAGAAAAAAATTATATCTGCAAAATACTCTCCATGCCTCTTTTTAAATTCCTTGGGGTGTCTACTTTCCAAAAAGAGGTCATTTCGGGGGGTTTGATGCTATCCTGGCATGTCAGGGCCTCCGAAACTGTGATAGGTAGTGAGGAAGTGAAATGAGGAAGTTACGCACCTTCAGGCTTTCAAAGTGGTCATTAGATTTCAGGTTCCTGTATATGGCTAGGCTTCCAAAACGTCTCACACATGTGGTATCCCCATACAGGGTAATAGTAGCAGAATGTATTTTGGGTGTAATTCCACATATACCCATGGCTTGTGCGAGAAATACAGTATATCATTTGTTACAACTTTGTGTGAAAAATAAAATAAAATGTTTTGTCATTTTCCAGAAACTTGTGGAAAAAAAAATAAATCTTCCATGGACTCGATATGCCTTTCAGCAGATAGCTTAGGGTGTCTACTTTCAGAAAAGGGGTCATTTAGGGGTGTTTGTACTATTCTGGCATTTTAGCACCTCAAGAACTGTGATGGGCAGTCAGAAAGTAAATGCTGTGTAAATTCCATTATCTATACCATAGTTTATTGATTGCTTTGTGTTAAAGTTATAGCATCTACATACACTTACTGGGATTTTTTTTAACCAAAAACATGTAGCAGAATACATTTTGGCCTAAATTTATGATGAAATTTTAGTTTTTTTTGGATTTTTTCTATGACAGAAATGAGAAAATATTGTTTAGAAAAAAAAAATTCTCAAAAAGTTTTTGTTCATAGCGCTAAAAATAAAAAAGCGCACAGGTGATCAAATACCACCAAAAGAAAGCTCTATTTGTGTGAACAAAAGGACATAAATTTATTTTATGTACCGTATTGCATGACCGCGCAATTGTCAGTAAAACTAGTGCAGCGCTGTATACCAAAAAAATGGCGTAAATTGCATTATCTATACCATAGTTTGTAGACGCTATAACTTTCACACAAAGCAATCAATATACACTTATTTGGATTTTTTTTTACCAAAAACATGTAGCAGAATATGTTTTTCTGCAAAACTTTTGGTCTTTTTTTGTTAATAGAGCGAAAAATAAAAAGGGCACAGGTGATCAAATGCCACCAAAAGAAAGCTCTATTTCTGTGAAAAAAATGATGAAAATTTCGTTTGGGTACAGCATTGTATGACCGTGGAATTATCAGTTGAATTAGTGCAGCGCCGAGTAGCAAAAAGAGGCCTGGTCATTTAGGGGGGTAAATCCTCTGGAGGGCAAGTGGTTAAAGACAAGTTACATATGTCTACTACTGAAATCTTTAGATACAACCAGTTTGTCTCATTTCTCTGCTCAAAGCTCGCTTTATTGGACGCGTCATCTTTGCTCACTGCCTTTGAACTTTCCTGCAGGAATAGGGATTCTCCAAGGGGCCGGGCCTCTGCAATATACGCTCTCCTCACTGACCCAAATCCAATAACTCTGTACCTTAATGACCCTCATCTGGATTTTCCTTTCTACTCTTTCCTTTGTTCTTTTTACTCTTTTTGTGCTGCTCTGCATTGTATATTCTATGTTGGCAAGGCGAGATATACTTGACCTCAAATTGGCAGCGATTTATGTCTTGTCTTAACTGCCAATTGTTGTGGCAGAATTTGTGGTTTTGGTATTTCTATCTGTATATACAAAGGAACATTGTTCATTGATATTGCTGGTTTTACTTTGGTTTTTACTGAATAGTTTTACAAAGGAAAAAACATTTGAAAAGTAATTAACCTATACTCCTGTTTGCTGCTGTGCAGTTTAAATCCGTAGTGAAAAGAACATTCCCCTGAGCCAGAAGAGATTACTGTAGACTGCTAATTATCTGAGTAACATAATAGATGGACTACAAGTCTCAGCTTAGCAATACAGGATCAATACTGTTATATGGAAAAATTTAGGGCATATTCATTAATGGTTAGAGTTGACCATTACCATTAAGCCCTGGGACATATATGCCTGGAACTGCAAGCTAGACTTCATTTGATAGATTGTCTATAAGCATCCATTTGTTCTTGCAACACATATATTTTCTTACAGGATGTTCGGACGCAGCGGTGTATTTACCACAAGGCATTTGCCTAGGGCGGCATTTTCAGGGGACAGCAGCATTTTTCAGGGGGGCAGCACCGTCCCGAAAGAAGGAAAGGAAGAAGGGACACATGCAGCACGGGGACTAGGTGGGATCTGAGAAGGGCTGCTTGATTATGTATGTAGAGCCTGATTCTTGTTCCTGGGGATGTCCAGAGCTGGGAGGTGAGTGTTTTTATCTCTTGCCGGAGTGAGGGGATGGGATTTGCCAGTGTATGGGGGCGGTGGTAGTGGAAGGCTCTCTTGGGTGGGGGTGGGAAGGGGGTTTGGGTGTTGTAGGTAAATGTCAGGCTCTCTTCGTGGGGGAGGGAGGTGTTGGTTGGTGTCAGGATCTCTCCATGGGGAGGGGAGCAAATTTTTGTGTTGCCTAGGGCAGCACGAAACCTAAATATACCACTGTTCATTCATCTTAATAGGTGACATTGTTTTAATGCACTTGATCTGTGTTATGGTGAACCAAGCACTGTGATTTTGTATTTTATTTAGTAATTTGTGATATATCCTCTTTATACTATTTTTATAACTAAATAAAACTTTGATATTTAAAGCAGTAGGTCTCGTATGCCGTTCCATTAACCGCTTTTTACCTATCCATAGAGTTGTACCCTATTGATGGGTACTATTTTTATATATACCTTTCCTTTATTAGTTATTCTATACCATACTATACTATTATATACTAATTCTATACCATACTATACTATTATATACTATACTAGTGACTTTCACTTTCTTATTTTTGTTTTTTTGGTGAAATCACACACAATTGTGTCTTGATTTGTCTTTTAGGGTAGAGGAGGTTACTTCAGGTAAGCTCCTCTCAGTTTACACATAATAAGCCCCAGTTTGGATAACATTTACTAGATTGGGGCCATGATTTACAGATGCACATTGACGTGAAAACGTTATTCTTTGTCTAAGTATCATTGCTGTACAAAAATACCTTAAGAACCGGTGAAAGAAAAACTGATGCTCCAGTCAGAATGAACACTGCCAATCCAGTTACTCTTTGCTCCCTGAAAAAACATGCATATAAAAGGATAAAATACAAGACCATTGCAATAGTTATATTTTTCTATTCAGTGATCTCCATTTAAGATACACCTGTATTTAACTCCTTACTACATATGTCAAGGTTTTTGATGTTTTTGTATACATAAATATATGTAGTCATACATTGATCAACCATAGCATTATAACCACCCACAATAACCCATCAGGGCATGGATTCAACTAACCCTATAAGTTGCGAGGTTAGACCTCCAGGGATCAGACTTCTTTTTCCAGCACATCCCACAGATGCTCCATTAGACTGAGATCTGGAACGTTTGGAGGCCAAGTCAACACCTCAAATTCGTTGCTGTGTCCCTCAAACCATTCTTGAATTTATTCTTCCAGTGCTCCATCATGAAGTTCTGATGTTCATGTGCCTACTTATATGCACTTATGGCTCTGAACATGAGTTAGCATGGACATCCTGACTGATCTAGGGCTCCATACGCAACAAAGTACAATGCATTGTGTGTTCGACACCTTTCTGAGCCTGCATTAACTTTCTCAGCAATTTGAGTTTCAGCAGCTCTTCTATTAGATCGGACTTTGCAGGACAGTCTTCACTTCCCCCACATGCATCAATGAACCTTGGTCATCTATGACCCTCTCTCTGGTTCGCAAATTTTCCTTCCTTGGACCACTTTTGGTAGGTCGTGACCACTGCAGACTTGGTGCATCCAAAAAGAGCAGCAGTTTTGGAGATGCTCTGACCCAGTCATTTAGTCATTACAATTTGGTCCTTGTCAAGGTCACTCAATTTGTGCCATTGTCATGTGATATTCAAATGTTATTTACTTTACCTGTCAGTGGTCCTAATGTTGTAGCTGATCAGTGTATAGAAATAACATACTTTCTTTAGACTGCAAATATAAACATTTACCTGATGCCCAAAAACTTTGGTTGTTCTCCTGGAGCAGAAACCGTCGTTTCCATTTTTAGGCTGTTCATATGTGCAAGAGATATTACAGTAGCTGAGACATACCATGGAAGACCCATAAATGACATCACTATAATCAGCAAAGCTATACAGAAGAAATCCAGATGAAGGCCAGCACCTTTCTGTAAAAAATGTATTTGGAGGTTAAGGAAACAAGATAATTTGTTGAAGTAATTCTTTACCCACAAAATATACAGCTTTTCTGTGCAGTTGATTCTATCAGTACGCTATACCACATGTCTTAATATAGAATGAACCTGTTTTTATACAGAATAGTATGGTATTGGTATATGGTATATACAGGATTTATATTGCGCCAACAGTTTGTGCAGCACTTTATAAAATGAAGGTAGACATTACAGTTACAATACAATTTGGTACAAGAGGAAACAGAGGGCCCTGCTCGTTAGAGCTTACAATCTAGGAGGTTTTAATTCATAAAAATTCTATTTATGCTGCACCTAGTACTAAATATCAGTATCAATAGTCAGAAGACGTCATGGCTTTGCTAGTCAGTGATTAGGATGACCCAAATATTGGGGATGGATGTTAAAAGGTCAGATAAATTGACAGCAGTTTAACTAAAGCAGGATAACTCAAGCAGCAGGAAGATACAACAAAGAACTCTACTGCATGCTGGATGGACTGCAAGCAAACAGCCTGGGAAACATCTCCTACAAGTCTAATACCCAATCTATGTACCTTTTAATATGCCTCCTCTACTCCTCTTCATATTACTATCTTGTGTTCCCAAAATCTCCTTTTTTTACCAATCTGCTCCACCCCAAAGCGTATACATCTCACCCTCACTGCTACCATCTCCCTACTACTGCTCTCACCACCTCTTGCTCATACTTTACTCACCTGCTGACTCAAACACCAGGAGAGGAAGGCATGTGCACTCATATACATCCCACTCCCACCTTACTTTCCTCACCCTTCTTCTCCTAATCTCTGGGGATATCTCCCCAAACCCTGGTCCTCCACTATTTCACCCCCACACCAGACACCCTCCTCCCTGCAGAAATAGCTGAAATCCACTCTATTTAATCTCTATCCCCGTGCTCCTAAAAACCACCCTCCCCTTTTTCATGTGCACTCTGGAATGCACGCTGTTTCTAATAAGCTCACCTCTGACCATGACCTTTTTGTCTCCCGCTCCCTTTTAACCTACTAGCAATTACAGAAACCTGGCTTCAAGCATCAGATTCTTCTTTTCCCACTGCACTTTCATATGGAGGCCTTATCTGGACCCACTCACCCAGACCAAGCTGGTGGAGTTGGTTTGCTTCTATCCCCACTGAGCACCTTTCAAGTCCTTCGTAACCCTCCCTCTTTTTCCTTCTCTTCTTTCGAGACTCACTGCATTCGGCTGTTTTCTCCCATTTCTCTGAGTATTGCCGCGATCTACCAGCTTCCTGGACCGGTGTCTCGCTTTCTTGATGACTTCTCTGCCTGGCTACCCTACTTTCCCTCCTCTGAAATACCCTCTATCATTCTTGGAGACTTTACCATCCCCATTAATGTGAACAACCCAGCTACATCCCAACTCTCCAACCTAACCTCATCTTTTGTCTTAACACAATGGACACAGTCCTCCACTCACTCTGATGGGAATACATTGGACCTTGTTTTCGCTCATCGTTGCACTCCCTATAACCTCACAAACACCCTCTCTCTGATCATAATCTCATCACCTTCACAATGTCCTCGTCTTTAAACACCTATCCCTCCAAGCAGCAAACAATTACCCGCAGAAACCTTCACAACTTAAACCCTTCTCTTTTCCACTCTGCAACTGTCCACCTCTGACAGAATCTCTCCCCTGTCCTGCATTGACCTGGCCATTGCTGTCTACAACATTTCACTTTCATCCATATTATACTCACTTGCTCCTAACTACACGAAGTATCAGGCTCCGACCATTACAACCGTGGCAGACTGACGACACCAGAAATCTTAAGCGACATAGTCATGCGCTGGAGCGATTGGGAGTAAAACCAAATCTCAGCAAGCTTTCACTCTACATAAATCTGCTTTCTTAAACTACAATTCCTCCCTACATGCTGCCAAACAAGCCTACTGTGTCACTCTGCTCACTAGCTTGTAATGCAGTCCTCGTTGTCTCTTCTCTACTTTTAACTCTCTACTTTCTCCATCTCAAGCTCCATCCAGTAACTCACTCACTGCTTATGAGATTGCAAATCATTTCAAAAACAAGATTGATGCAATTCGTAGGGGCATCTCCACTGCACAGACATCCATCCCACTTAGTATACCTTATACTAAACCTCCCTCGACACTTTCCTCTTTTAACTTTGCTACTACCAAAGAGGTCACTAAGGTTTTCTCAGAAGTCTGTCTCACTACCTGCCCCCTGGTTCCTGTTCCCTCACAAAAACTACGGTCATCCTCTTCTTCTATCCTATGCTCCTTCACGCACATCTTCAATCTCTCCCTCTCTAACAGTGCCTTCCCCTCCCCTCTAAAGTATACACACATTACTCCCATACTTAAAAAGCCCTCCCGGACCCCACCAACCTGAACAACTTAAAGCGGAGCTCCACCCAAAAGGGGAAGTTCCGCTTTAAAGGACTGCTCCCCTGCTCCACCTTTGGGGAGCGGGTACCCAAATTTGAAGGGTACCTGCTCCCACTTCCGGTCCAATCGCCTAGGCGATCGGAAACGGAAGATGTCCTCCCTTCCACCCTGTAGTCTTTTGGGACACGTGACAAGTCCCAGAAAACTACAGGACCATTCACAAAGTGCAGCGCTACTCACGCATGTGCAGTGGGAGCCTGGCTGTGAAGCCGCAAGCTATCACAGCCAGGTGCCCACACTGAAGATGCCAGCCTCCTGGAATACAGGGTGGTCGGTGAAACAAGTTGTGGGGGACACACCACGGGACTGAGGGACAGGTAAGTGGCTGTTTTTTAAAAGTCAGCAGCTACAGTTTTTGTCGAGTCGAGTGGAACTCCACTTTAAGACCCATCTCCCTGCTCCCGTTTACCTCTAAAACTCTTAGAACGCTCAGTATACAATCGCCTGAGCTCCTACCTCACTGACAACAACCTTCTTGACCCTTTACAGTCTGGCTTTCGCTCACTACACTCCACTGAAACGGCCCTACTAAAACTCACTAATGATTTACTAACTGCTAAAACCAATGGCCATTAGTCCATACTCTTACTACTTGACCTCTCTGCGACTTTTGATACTGTTGACCATCCTCTCCTCCTCAAAAAAAACTCCACTCTCTTGGCCTCCGAGACTCTGCTCTCTCCTGGTTCTCCTTCTACCTATCACAGTGCTCTTTTAGTGTTACCTATAACTCTGTCTCCTCCTCTCCACTCCTTCTTTCTGTAGGAGTCCCTCAAGGTTCTGTTCTTGGACTCCTTCTCTTCTCCAGCACACTGTTCCAGGATCGCTGGTCACAGACTTCCGGGACAGTGTGAAACAGAGAGGTACACACCCCGCCCCCTAGTAAAACACTCCCCTGACACAGTTAACCCTTTGATTGTCTTCAGAAGTTAACCCCTTCCTCCCCAGTGTCATTAGTACAGTGTCAGTGTTTTTTTTTTTTGCACTGATCACTGTAGTGGTGTCACTGGGGATGTCAGTGACCCCAAGTCAGTTCCCCCACAGTGTCAAAATGTCCGCCACAGTCCCGCCATAAGACGCTGATTGCCACCATAGGTCGTTGATTGCCACTATTATTAGTATAAAAAAAAATCCAGTATCTATACCGCCATTTGTAGACGCTATAACTTTCACGTAAATCAATTAATTTACACGCATTGGGATTTTTTTCAGGAAAGACATGTCGCAGAATTAATTTTGGCCGAAATTTATGACGAAAGTTGATTTTTAAATTTTTTTACTGGACTTTTAATTATTGCAAAAAGTCCAAAATATTGTTTTTTTCCTCAAAATTGTCGGCCTTTTTTTTATAACGCAAAAAAATAGAAAACGCACAGGTGATCAAAAACCACCAAAAGAAATCCCAATTCATGGGGAACAAAATGTAAATTGAAATTTTGGTGCAGCGTTGCATGACCGCGCAATTTTCAGTTAAAGTGACACAGTGCCGTAACACAAACCGCTTATGTAACCGCTTCCTGACCTCCCTATAGCAGAAATACTGTTACAGGGCGGCACAGGTGCGCAAAATCACATATATATACGTGATTCGCGCTTCCGTGGTTTTCACGCCCCTCCCAGATGGCGTCAGATTGCCAGTCAGTACACCAGTAATCACATTTAACCCCTCAATTGCCAGGAAGAAGCTCATACACAATAAACCTCCATTGCTAGTATAGTGTCTGAACGGATCAATATCTTTGATCAGATCAGCATTATACCAGCGTTCACATTAGTATAGCATCCCCCAAAATGCAGCGTTAGCGGGATAAGCCCCGGCACCTGCCAACACCTGCATTTAGCCTCTACGCTTACCCCCCCCATTCTCCCCCAGCAAATGCAGTGTCAGTAGGTCACTGTCACTTGATACATTGTACACAAAACTGCAGTGTTGGCAGAATCAGGCTTGATCTCTGTTAGCACTTGCCGGTAAACTTTGATGACTCTCATATGCAGCAGAGTGCAAGTACTAGTGCCGCACTACCTTTTGGTGAACTGGCGAGCACCAGCGGTCTAGTTCATACCTGGTCTTTCACATATCTCTTTGATTATAAGCTCCGAGGAACAGGCCCTCCTTTCCCTCTTGTATTGAACTGTATTGTTGCTGTATTGTATCCCGTTATATTGTAAAGCGCTGAGAAAACTGTTGGCGCTATATAAATCCTGTATAGTAATAATAATACCAGCACTACAGTATGACTTGGCAACGTGGCAAGTCCCATAAGCGCAGTACAAGCTGGTGCGGTGGCAAGCACAACTATGTCCTGCAACCACCAAGAATTCGCACACAGGCCCATAGAGTTCCTAGTATCCTTCCGATTGGCAACCCACAAATTCTGCAGCACCTGTACTTCCCCCATTCACTGCCCAACCCAGAATTCAGGTGGAAATAGCAAATTTACCTCCTACCCTTGATTTTTTGGAGCTGTTTTTCACGGAAAATCTGTATGCATTGATTGTGGATCAAAGCATTTTATATGCA